GTCTTATGAAATCCTGGATCCTCCCCTGGGGTCAAGGGCACAGCCAGACTCTTGGTGGGGGACGGAGGACACAGTGTTACCGTGGGGTCCTGCTAGTGAAATGCCCCTCCCCTTAAAATGAGTTACCGGATTTCGCCAACTTTATTTCAACGGTGGACAGAATTGATTTCTTCTATTCTTATCTGCAGCTTTCTTCAAGTGAAACGGCAATGTATTGAGTGACGATGTTAAAGCTTTGAAACTTTTTTCTCAGTTTGCTGGACAGAATGTTCTCGGGAAACGCTTTATGCGCATGCCGTGACAAGACCTGACCTAAATATGACCATTACCAAGAAGCAAGATGTCCTGCAGCAACATGGCCCAGTTATTGCAATATAAATTACCCTAATTAATGCTGCGAGATCTCGCCTGTCTTGAACCCCTCTGCCACACATGGTTACCAGGTAAACAATATTTTGGTTAGCGACTCTGACGTGTTCTGCATTCGAGAATGTTTGGGAGCGTTTGATGCGACCTTTGACAGTATTGATGTTAAATTTTCAACATCGCCACTTCATGCATTGTGACATCTTTGGGAAACATTGTTGACGTTACATATTCACCTAATGCGTAATCTATTAACTACGACGAGAGCGCCAATCATAGTTACGTCGATAATGACAACAGTATAAGCAGTCATTAACTCCATCATCTTCACATCCATGGCACTTGCAGCTTACCGATTGAAAAATCACATCAAGTAAATAATACACACGTTAAGGATCCACTCTCCCCGATAGTTGGAGAGGAAGGCGAACTTGCGCAAGAAATTTGGCCAAATGGCCCCAGGCGTGTCGTGCAAGTGAGCCTGAATTCTCAGTAGGCTCAGAAGTATTCATTAGGGGTGTTTCGACACCAACGATATGTCTGCAGCATATGTAGTTACTGAGGAGCGATATGTTTTATTAGAGTCACTCAACGGCAATTTGCGGCCGACGCGGACGGCGGGCGAGAACCGAGAAATTTCCCGTTGGCGTGTGGCAGTGACGTTACCGTTACGTAACAGGACTCTACGTCGTCAATGTTTCCTTCAAACACATGAACCCCATCTCAGTTTTCTCCAAATTGATCAAGAGCGCTTCTTTATAGTAACAATTCTGCAATGTTGTGTGGCGCCGTAAACATTGGCGTGCGTAAGTCCATTTTTATTCAAAACAATTTGAAATGGCAGGGCTGGGGTTCCGTCGCATCAACCTATGCGTTCGCATCATGAAAACGCCTAATCCGGGCGGAAGTAATCGTTTTTTGCTCTTCGCCTCTGACCTCGTATATGAACACTGGGTCAGTCCCGTTGACATGCATGATAAAACACCTCGCGCATGAGCGGTCCTGCGAGTGCTCCACCCGTCACCCACTTCTCAGCACAGAAATCTTCATCCAAACGCTGCCTCACATCCTGTGCCCCATCAGAGTGGCAAAGAGACGCCCCTGTATGATCGCACATGAGAAAGACCGCACACCCAACTATCACAGGTCATGACCGGAGTGAAGATTGCCTGCCAGAGTACAACGCCCCGGCTACGCCCCTCCCCCTCTCAAGTCAGTCGAGGCGACGGTGGGTCTCTGGGTGGGTGTCAACCTTGGCGCGTGCCGACGCCCCGGGCTAGGGGCGGGAAAGTGGTGTGGCGCTGTTGGCGGTATATAAGGGAGACGCAGAGCTCAGCTGCAGTCAGTGAACGTTGCAGTCGGACTCACAAGCATCAAACATGTTCAGTAAGGTGAGTTGGGCCCGTGTGGGCAGGAGCCGCCACAACAGCTAACGAGCACGTGCAGCCTGTATTTGTGCACCCTCGATGGGCTGGTGCACTAACCTGTCTGCGATATTTCGTATTCAAGCGAATGCCTATCTTGCATGCAAATTTGGCTGATTTCGTACAATATGGCAGTGTGTGTGCGTGTGATTAAGTAATTTAATGAGGTACCATCACATTTGTTCCATGGATTATCACCCCTCAGAAAGTTACTATTTTATCGATAGCAGACTGTCTCGGCAACTATACATCTTTATCAACAGTTGACCTTACACCCTTCACTATACCGTAAGCCTTTAACTACACCGTAAGCCTTTGACTCTAAACACTTATTCACATGGTTCACACTTTGTCAAAATCGAAAAACCACATAAAGAAGATACAGCCAAATATAGCCTGCGAAACTATAGTCAAGTTTGCTCGCTTGTTATTACATTTTATTAAAGTTTGAGACAACTAAGACTGTAAGGTATTCTCAGCCAACTGGCATTGCTTGCTAAAGACGACCGCTTCCAACAGTTTCAGCGGTTGTCCTATACTGAATATGCTCTATACAACTGAATGTTCGGACTTAATCGACGCCGATAGGTTAAAAACACTAGGTTTGGGTTTTAAAGTATGTATTCTTTGAGGACAGCTGCTACTGTCTAGAGAACATTGACATAGTCCGTGCCAGACGGCATACAGCCTTCTCGATGTCGCGTGATTCGATGCTAGACTCGCCTATCGGTGATGAGGATCACGTGGCTTCATTGATTCAAAGAAAATCAACATCGGACCGCCCAAAAGTATTAGTGATCACGAGTCGCTCTCGACGTGCTGACCCGTCTTGTAAAATTGATGACTAGCAGCTCTTAAGCAAATTTGTTTTATGATGTGCATTGCTGCTCCCTTCGTACGTGTCTCGCGACAGGCTACCGACAAAGTACCTTAATTTTGCTTTCTGTGATCGATGGCTCCGCAACACAATGTGTCAAGATTCACAATTATGTACAAAGAAACGGATATCCATTGTACAGGAAAGATGTTACAAATATCTATGCATTTGAGTACTAATGTGGCACTAAATATTCATGGCTTTCGTGACGAGGCAACAACGCTATTGAGATTGGTTTTCAACTACGCTATCGAGCGTTCTAGCAGAGGGGCAATCTATGTAAGCTTTACTCAGGCAGATCTCATGTCATGGTGTGTAGATCGGGAACAATATCAATGGAATAAGTAGCTGCGGAAAAAAGTGGATTTTGGCTTACATAAAGAGAAACTTGCGTTATGCTCTCTCACTTGATCTTGATGCCATAATTTACTAGAGTTTTATTTTGGTGATGCAGGAATTTTAAAAGTCTTGGACTTAGCGTACCCTCTATTGGGGTGATAATGGTGAAAAAAATCACCAAGCCACCGAATACCTTCAGACCTTCCAGACCATGGTCATCATGTTAATAAAGCTTTTTAGCCGGAAACAAGGAGACAAAACATTTTCATACCAAACGTAGCCATACAATATTGCAGATCAGGGTCATGGGAAAAGGTCGGGTCAGGTCAGGTTCAAATCAGATCAAAGCAAGGTTACCACCTCGATGTTTTTGGTTCAGTTTGATCACGTAACGTAGATGATTCACACGCTTGAAAACATGTAAGGCCTACCGACTCGTTTCTGTCTGTCTGCACTTATTACTGAGATACATATGTTTCTTCCTATTAATTTTTTTTTTGCTATTTCTTATACCGAATTTTTTTTTAAACCGAATTATTATTTTTTACCAAATATTTCGGCAAATTTCTATGGCCTCAAACGGTCATCTCATCCCACGTCACCTCAAACGGTCATCTCGTAAACACCGAACAGCCGGGCTGGCCGTACGTGTCAAAAATTCAACTCGTTCGGCGAGACATCTTCAAACGAATTAATGTGGTGTAGTTTCTACGAGTCTACCCAAGTAGTCACTTTTTCACTGTTCAAGTAGTGTAATATCAACGTGTATCGAATCAAACACTAATCCACTCTGGCAGAATTTGCCAGTAACGCGAACAATTAACGAATCCAACGATGCTACGATGGTGGCTTTGTCATATACGTGCCCTGCCCTGTTCTGCCCTGCACATGCCTGTCCTTCCCTGCCCTGCCCTGCCCTGCACTCCCTTGCCCTGCTGACCTGCCCTGCCATGCCATGCCTTGACCTGACCGGCCGCTCTGTGGGCAGCTGTTTGTGGTGGGCCTTCTGGCCACGGCCTGCCTGGCCGCCGAGGAGAAGAAGGCGGCTGAGGACCTGAAGACGGACAGCTCGTCCACCAGCTTCTCCCACAGCAGCCTCGGCTCGGTGCAGTAAGTCGCTGATCACTGTCACCTCCCTTTGCCAAACGATGGGGAGAACCAACCAGCTGAGATGCCGGCAGTAGGTAAAGAGTCTGATCCGTGGAAATGGAAGTGGGGGGGGGGGGGGGGGTCGTGCCATATTCACTATTTTATAATGATTCGGATGAAATTAGTTTGAGCACACCTTTTCCGAGCTAATTTTACATTTTCGTGAGGCATGCACACACGGGCAACGTATAACCGACTCCATGAATTTTTTTAGGAATTCAGCTGACTTCGTTTGACATCTCGGCTTCGTTTCAGCTCCGGAGTGTCCACGTACCACGCTCCTTCCACCACCTACGCCCCTGCCAGCTCCTACCACGCGGCGTCGGCTGGCTACGCCTCTGGCTCGTCCTACCACGCTCCGTCCCCCACTTACTCTTCCAGCTCGTCGTACCACGCTCCGTCTACTGGCTACTCGTCGGGCTCCTCGTACCACGCTCCGTCCCCTTCGTACTCCTCCAGCTCGTCGTACCACGCTCCGTCTACTGGCTACTCGTCGGGCTCCTCGTACCACGCTCCGTCCCCCACCTACTCGTCCAGCTCGTCGTACCACGCTCCGTCTACTGGCTACTCGTCGGGCTCCTCGTACCACGCTCCGTCCCTCTCTTACTCGTCCAGCTCCTCGTCCTACCGCGCTCCGTCTACTAGCTACTCGTCGGGCCACTCGTACCACGCCGAGCCGGCCTACTCGCCCAGCTCCTCCTACCACGGCGCCGCCCCCAGCTACGCCCCCGTCTCGCCCTACCACGGCCCGGCTAGCTACGCCTCGGAGGGGTACGCCGCGCCCCATCAGAGCAGCTATCGCCCGAGCTACCAGCCCGTGCAGACGTACCACCAGTCAGCCTACGCCCCGGCTCGCCCCAGCTACGGCTCCGGCTACGCCCCTGCCGCCGGCTACGGCTACGCCGCCGGCTACCAGGGCGTGACCTACGCCGGTCGCGACCAGGGTTACGGCCACGACAACGCGTGAGTGTGCAGCGGGGCTGGCGCGCCACAGAGAGCCGTGGTGTGCTGATGCTTACAGTTGCGGTGCGCCACCTTGAACAAAACACAGCGAGATGATTTTTGTTACATTTGGTACAGCAAGCTGTGATGCAGAAGGCAGTCAGCTTTGATGTGCCTTTCCACATCCATGTTAAGCCAGCATCAAGATCGTTTCACTGTGAGTATTTTTTTTTTCGAATGAGACAGTGGAGAACACTGACAGTTAAGACACCCTCCCCCCCCCCACGCCATTGACGCGGCCTCGTCATCCCGTGCAGGTACAGCCCCCGTCCGCACGCCGCAGGCTACTCGTACCAGCCCCGCGGCTACGGCTACCAGCAGAGCGGCTACGGCTACCAGCCGGCCGGCTACGACCGCACGCCTTACGGCGGACACGGAGGCTACGCTGCCCCGGCCTACGGTCAGTCAGAGCTCAATTGAGGTCGGCTAAGGTCGGATACGTAACGGCGAGTAGGCACAGTTGACTTTACGCTTTGTTCGAACTGACTGTGCTTGGCGCCTGGACGTTCTGTTTTCAGACAGCTCCAAGTAGTCACTAATGACGCTTATAACGTTTACTTCCTCGTCATTTGTTTACGTATGATCTATGCAGAGATACTAACACTGTTTCTGTTTCACTCAATGCTTCTGTTGCGCCAAGACGATTCTAAATAACCAATGAATTACAAATGTTTTCCGCGCTGAAGTGTATCACCACCCCGGTAGACTACAGACTTAGACCTGCTGCAACCTTCCACAGCACGAGGTACTGATTACCTCAGATAAATGTGACTACTCGACCCCTCTTCTTGCGGGGCGTGTTTGTGACAGTAGTCGTCTCGTTCTTAGGGGATTGCCTCATATCGACTGAATGCAATGTTTCACTAAGTGAGTGTACGTAAGTGATTGTTTGGTACATTTCAGAGCCCTCCCACTACTAAAGCGTTGACTGGCTCCCAGGGACAGGCCTAGATCTGTTGAAGAAGGTCTAGATAATGAAGACATCGATCCACTCTACCTTTCTCGGCTGCTAGAAACACTTTATTTATTACACTGCATTGAATACAGGACAATGCATGCGTATGAATCATGTTTCGCGCTGCTTCATGTCTGCTGCGGAGTTGCGGAGGAATGTAGAGTGATTTTTGTCACGTACCTGACCTCAGTGGGTGTGCCGAGTGATTTGTGCGCTGTAAATAAACTTTTGATTTGTGATCTCTGTTTCTTCACGTTCAAAGAGGACTGTGCTCAGTCAATCGTCAGATAACATACCACTCTCAGAACGCAACAGACAACGAGATGGTTTACCTACGTGAGCCCGCGCACCCCATACCACAATTAGGTGGGCGCTCCAAGCCCGTCAGCCCATCCCCAACATCGAAGAGCTTAGTAAAAGTGCCATAATAAAGCATGTGAATAGAAGTACGCACCTTAAAGCGGTAGATGAATAGGCAAGAGCACCACGAGATCAGGCCAAAGCACGCGCAGCTAAAAATATTTGACTCAGCACACATCTAGCGTCGCCGCGCGCCACCTCTCGGAAGGTTGAAGAACTACAAGCGAGTGCTGTCGTGCAAATGTTCTATGGAGCAGTCAAAAAATCACATAATGAACAGCAGATGTACTAAATAGTGAGCCCTTTTGTGCAAAAAATGTTTCCACTTAAACGTATACCGTTAGTTGTATGCGAGGTTATTTCATCATATCTTATGTTCGCTTCACACTTCAAATGTGGAACATTCCCTTGAAACATGCTCCAAGCCTGATGCGACTTATGTCGCCTGTCGCTCGCTTTTTGTATCGTCCCAGCATTGCCCATACAAGTGATTGTTGTGCTTCTGCACTTCATGGGCCTGGAAGGGGAATATAATGGGCTTCGGATTCAGCTCGGAGCAAACAGAAGACGGTTTAGTATGACGCTGTATTCCTTTACAACACTGTTGCCAAACTGGGTCACCCCTTTCCTACTGTTTATGCGTGTTTTGTTGAAATTTCACCTTGAATGCAAAGCTCTGCACCCACTTACCACAACGTCTTTTACACTTTTACATTTTGCATTCGTAATACATTTGACACAGTTTGAAACTCCTGCTTTTTGGAGCGCTCGAACCGCTTTTGCCATTCTGCGTCGTATCTTGCAATGTTACACTCTTGTTTCAGCTGTGTTATTTTCCGGGAGTACGGGTATGTCCAGCGAATGCTAGGCAGCGCGTACAACTCCGAGCGTCACCACTCTGCCATTACCGTGAAATCTCACTTGAGTTCCCTACCAATATTGAGCACTGGTACTGCTCCTGCCCATACCATGGATCCTAAGATTTGGCTCAGTCTGTGGTAACAAATATTGAGAAAAATTTCGAGTGTTCAACCACCAACAGCTGGCCGTTTTAAAGAAAACACAGAAAAAGGGTGGGGGGGGGGGGGGAATCCATTCTCCGGCCCAGAACGGGGTTACATTATTAGGTGAAAGCACATGTTTGCTGGTTTCAATTCCACTAAGTGTACACCACAAATTCTTGACATGCTGCGATAAGGCGTTGAAAAGGTAAGTATATTTGAGCTCCGCTGACTGCCTTTGACCTCTGTTGACTAGACATGACAAGTACACCATGCGACCTAAATCGGAGATAAAGCTCTAGACCACGCACGGGATGCCGTTTGATGTTCTGAGGCCTTAAATATCCGCAACTTAGGCTCCAACCCCTTTGTTGGCCTAAGCTATTGGTGAAGAACCATTTTTCACTAATCAGCTTCACTCATTCATTTTGCAAAACTGCGTCCTTCACACGTGCCACTGCCGATGCGACTATCGGTTCAGGTCAAGGTCAAACCTGTGAAGTCGCGCGCGACTCCATTTGCTAAGACAACGCTTTAAAAGATGGGGGAGTCATTTATCTTTCTCAGGCCAAAGTTAGAATGTTGGACAAAGTCACCTGGTGGGTAAAATCTCCTCAATACACCTTCATCGTTGTTGTGTCTTACATATTGTCAGTGGCTACATCATCAGTGTTCCATGATCATCGGGCACGAGCCGACGGCAGACCGGAGTGGACCGGCCTTGCCTCGGGCACTGGTCGGACTAGAGTCTTGAGTCACCTGATTCATTACTGCTCACTGCATGTCACCTAACTATCGCGCAGCACGCAAGCGCTTTCAGGCCTGGGTGCGGCTCTTCAGCCAAAAACTATATTAAAACATCTGATATGCTCACGGCATATCGATAAAGCACTCATCTCTTCTAACAGAGATCAATGCCAAATGCCAATTTTTCTGACATGCAAAATTTGTTCAAAACACAACTTATAATACCTACAAACTTCTGGCATTTCTGGCGTTCCAAATAACATCTTTTCAGAACATCAAAAATACCAAACACCTGACCCCAGCAGCAAAGTCCGTCTGACCTAAACATCAAAAAGGTTCAGAACATCTGATCAGCTAAGGCCACCGACTGGAAATTCGGCCTACTGGAAATCTAATGTGCCAAGCAAAGTCAGGTACAGGAGGTGAAGTAAACCATCAGATGAACTGCTATGCCTCAAGTAGACATGTGCCCAAAAAGGTTTTAGATCATGACCCCAGGATCACACCTGGAGTCTTATGAAATCCTGGATCCTCCCCTGGGGTCAAGGGCACAGCCAGACTCTTGGTGGGGGACGGAGGACACAGTGTTACCGTGGGGTCCTGCTAGTGAAATGCCCTTCCCCAAAAATAAGTTACCGGATTTCGCCAACTCTATTTCAACGGTGGCCAAAATGTCTTTGTTCTATTGATATCTGGAGCTTTCTTCAACTGAAACAGTAATGTATTGAGTGACGATGTTAACGCTTTGAAACTTGTTCTTAATTAGCTGAACAGAATGTTCTCGAGGCAACGCTGTGTGCGCATGCCGTGACAAGACCTGACCTGAATATCACCATCACCAAGAAGGAAGATGCCCTGCAGCAACATGGTTCAGCTATTGTAATAGAAATGACCCTAATTGGTGTTGCAAGATCTCGCCTGTCTGGGACATCTCTGCCCTACATTGTTACCAGGTAAACAATATTTAGGCTACTGGCTCTGACGTTTTCTGCATGCGAGATTGTTTGAGAGCGTTCGATGCGACCTTTGACAGCATGGATGCGACATTTTCAACATCGTCATTCCATGCATTGTGACATCTTTGACGAAAGAAAGTGCAGGCGTCACAGACTCATCTATGCTCAATCCATTAGCGACGACGAGAGCGCCAATCATGGCCACGTCGATAATGACAACAGTTTAAACAGTCAATAAATCCATCATCTTCACATCCATGGCGTTTGCGACCTACCGATTGAAAAAGCACGTCAACTTAATAATACACACGTTATGGAAACCCTTTCCCCGATAGTTGGGAGGAAGGTGAACTTGCGCAAGAAATCTGACTAAATGATCCCAGGCGTGTCGTGCAAATGAGCCTGAATACTCAGTAGCCTCAGTGGTATTCATTAGCGGATGTTTCGACACCAACGATATGTCTGTCAGCATATATAGTTACTGAGAAGCGATATGTTTTATTAGAGTCACTCAACGGCAATTTGCGGCCGACGCGGACGGCGGGCGGGAACCGAGAAATTTCCCGTTGGCGTGTGGCAGTGACGTTACCGTTCACGTAACAGGACTCTACATCATCAATGTTGCCTTCCAGCACATGAGCCCCATCTCAGTTTGCTCCAAATTGAATCAAAGCAGCCTTCTTTATAGTTGCAATTCTGCAATGGTGTGTGGCGCCGTAAACATTAGGCGTGCTTAAGTCCATGTTTATTCAAAAAATTTGAAATGGCAGGGGCTGGGTTCCGTCGCATCAACCTATACGTTTCGCATCATGAAAACGCCTCATCCGGGCGGAAGTAATCGTTTTCTGCTCTTCGCCTCTGACCTCGTGTATGAACACTGGGTCAGTCCCGTTGACATGCATGATAAAACACCTCGCGCATGAGCGGTCCTGCGAGTGCTCCACCCGTCACCCACTTCTCAGCACAGAAATCTTCATCCAAACGCTGCCTCACATCCTGTGCCCCATCAGAGTGGCAAAGAGACGCCCCTGTATGATCGCACATGAGAAAGACCGCACACCCAACTATCACAGGTCATGACCGGAGTGAAGATTGCCTGCCAGAGTACCACGCCCCGGCCACGCCCCCCCCCCTCTCAAGTCAGTCGAGGGGACGGTGGGTCTCTGGGTGGGTGTCAACCTTGGCGCGTGCCGACGCCCCGGGCTAGAGGCGGGAAAGTGGTGTGGCGCTGTTGGCGGTATATAAGGGAGACGCAGAGCTCAGCTGCAGTAAGTGAACGTTGCAGTCGGACTCACAAGCGTCAAACATGTTCAGTGAGGTGAGTTGGGGCCGTGTGGACAGGAGCCGCCACAACAGCTAACGAGCACATGCAGCCTGTATTTGTGCACCCTCGAATGGGCTGGTGCACTAACCTGTCTGCGATATTTCGTTTTCAAGCGAATGCCTATCTTGCATACAAATTTCGCTGATTTCGTACAACATGGCAGTGTGTGTGCGTGTGATTAAGTAATTTAATGAGGTACCATCACGTTTGTTCCATGGATCATCACCCCTCAGAAATTTACTATTTTATCGATAGCAGACTGTCTCGGCAACTATACATCTTTATGAACAGTTGACTGTACACCCTTCCCTGCCAGTGACCATACCGTAAGCCTTTGACTCTAAACACTTATTCACATGGTTCACACTTTGTCAAAATCGAAAAACCACATAAAGAAGATACAGCCAAATATAGCCTGCAAAACTATAGTCAAGTTTGCTCCTTTGTTATTACATTTTATTCGAGTTTGAGACAACTAAGACTGTAAGGTATTCTCAGCCAACTGGCATTGCTTGCTAAAGACGACCGTTTCCAACAGTTTCAGCGGTTGTCCTATGCTGAATATGCTCTATACAACTGAATGTTCGGACTTAATCGACGCCGATAGGTTAAAACACGAGGTTTGGGTTTTAAAGTATGTATTCTTTGAGGACAGCTGCTGCTGTCTAGAGAACATTGACATAGTCCGTGCCAGACGGC